GGCCCGACCTGCCTGTCCAGACGGCCCGGCTGCTGGGGAGCGCAGTCGATCGGATGTCGGCTGACCCATCGCACACTCACCCGGGATACACGCCTTCCAATGGGTTCCCCTGCTTCAGTGCGCAGGTCATTTTGCACCGTATTCCACACATGCACTCCATCCCCCCCCCCCCCCCCCCCCACCTAGCCGGCGCCTACTTCTCCTTCCAGCTGGAACTCCTGAAGTCGGACCCCAGCTTGTCGGCGGCCGAGGCCACGGTGGATGCCGCCTCGCGCTGCATTCCCAGCACCACAGTCCCTGTGTGGCCGCGGCCCGGGATGGATGGGCTGCTCCCGGCCGCCGGGGCGTCGAGCCTGCTGCGCGGTCGACCGACCAACCGGTCGCCCTCCCCTGCCATCGGGCCCGGGCCCGCGGCAGGTCTGCAACACGAGACAGTCATCCCACGGGGCTCCACCGCCAGTGGCGGCTTCATCGGGGATCTGTTCCCCCGGTCGCCAGTGCTCCAGTCGTCGGCTGACCAGGCCCCCTCGGGCGTGAACCTACGCCTGAGCTCCCACAGCCATGGCCATGGCGGTGGCACCAGCACCTCGCCGGCCGTCTTCCGGTCATCGGTAAGCAGCGGCCGGTCACACTCGAGTCTGGATTTGGCCAGCATGTCGCGCCCCGCCTCGCCCGTGGCCCCCATGGTCACCGGCCGACTCCCGCGCCTCTCCCTGCACGCGGTGGATCCCGATGTCGGGGGCGGCTCCTCTGCCACCGAGGCCTCCAGCCCGACGTCCTCCATGCGCTCGAGCAACTCCTCGCTGGCGGGGTCCGCCCATCCGCCCGGTGCCTCGGGGCTTGGCATGGCCGGTGTCCTGCCGGTCTTCGCCCCCCTAGCCCCGGGGGCCGTGGCGCTGACGCCTGCCTCCTCGTACCTGCCCTCCTACTATGGCTTGCCTCACTTGGCCCAAGCGGCCGTGGTGTCCTCCTTCGGGTCGCCGGCCGCCGCGGCGAGCGCGGCCTTCGCCTCCGCTGGCGCCGGTCGACCTGGACGCAAGTCCCAGCGCTCGGCCAAGCAACAAGCCCCGGTGCATTTGTGCGTGAGTTCATTTGCCCCGGGCCACCATAACCCACGGCCGGGGCCCGCCCATCCCCCATGGCACCGGTGCTAACGCCCCTTGCCCTTTTCCCATTCCCCCATTCGATGCAGCTCCCCGGAGCCCTTCTGCTTTGACCGCCTCTTCCCCCCGGGCAAGCTTCTGGCCGCGTCGCCGCAGTCGCTGCAGTCCGGCACGCGCGGGCTCTCCTGCTTTGTGGGCCCCACTCCGGCGGTGCGGGCCATCCTCGGCCCCGCCGGCGAGAAGGCCTTCCAGCCGGTGCAGATGTCCGGTCGGCCGCTGATGCCAGTCCCCCGGGCCCCGGTGGCCGGCCCCTCGACCGATGGCCGGCCGGCTCCCATGACGGCTCCCGGCTCGCTGCCGGCCCCCCCGGCCCCGGTGACCGTGCCGCCGGTGGAGGCGGCCCTCGCTGCCGATTCCGGACACCAACAGGGCCCGATGCGGCGCTTCCTCCAGCGGATTCTCACCTCCTCGGATTGTGCGTGTGGCTGCCTCGCTCGCCCGCCCGCCCCCCCCCCTCCCTCCTGTCCTTGGCTCTGCCTTTCCCTTTCGGTCTGCCTCACACTGTTCCCCTTTGCGCCCTCGCCGTGTGTGTTCCTCCCCAGCCCCGCCCTCTTCCCCCAAGAAGGAGGCCGACCATGTGCCGGCCGCGGCGCACACCCCTCCGCCACAGGCGCAGCCGCAGCCGCAGCCGCACTTGCAGCACGCCTCGCCGCCGAACGACCCGGCCCACCCTCGACTCGGGACCGCGCAGCCCGATGGCCCGCCGGCTGGCGGGGTGTCGCTGGCCATGCGACCTCCCCTTGCTGCTGCCGACCTGGCCGGACCATACACCGCCGCGGCGGCCGTCATGCACAACGACCCGACCAAGTGCTACTACGACCACATCATCGCACACCACTTCGGCTCGTGCTACCCGAAGCTCCACCGGTCGATCGTGGACGACTGGGCCCACCGCTACACCCGATGCCTTTTCACCCAGCTCAACAACCTGTGGTCCCTGATCGTGGACCTGTTCGGCCTCAACCACTTCGATCTCCTGGACCATCCCCTGCCACTGGTGTGGACTGACGCCAAGTCCCCGGCCGAGTTGGGTCGCCTGAACCAGCTGACGGCGGCCTTCAATTTGCTGTCCGAGTTCCGCGAGACATACCACTCGCTGCATTGCGCCCCGCCGGAGGGCTTCGAGGACTGCTTCTCCCTGTTGGGATTCTATGTGCTGCCGCGTCTGTGCGTTTTTCATGCGGGTCTTTCGCCCTCGCGCCGGCCAACGCCGCCTCCCGTCACCCACTGCTTGCCTCTCGTCACCCGCTGCTCGCCACCGCCACACCCTGCCGGTGCAGGCGCGCGCCTGATGCGCACTTGCCCTTCCCCCACCACTGATCCCCTCTGCCCCCGCCTATGCATCCCCCTTCTTTTCTTTTCTTTTCCTTTTTTTCTCCCGGCCATGCCCGACATGATGGACACGCGTGCCATGGCTCGAAAATGCGCCGGCTCCCACGCGCACGCGTGCACTTGACAGCGTCTTCAACCAGATGCTCGAGCAAGGTGTCATCCGCATTTCCGAGGATGTCACCCGCCACATCACCCTTCACATCCTGACCGAGCGCCGCGCCGAGCGGCAGCTCCTGCTCCGGGGGGCGGATGCGGCGACGCTCGTCCGTCAACCGGACCTTTATCGGTCGATCACGGCCGTGGCAGATCGCGCCGGGCGGGAAATCAGCAACCTGTCGCTGCTGCTCATTCGTCGGATCCCCTCGCCGGGGCTGGTGCTGCACATTCTCCGGCAGCTGGCCAACGCCGGAGGTGGCGGTCCCACGGCCGGCTCCGGGCCGGGCTCCGATCTTGCGTATCCCCCGGGGGCCGGCATGAGTGATGTTGCCAGCCTCATTTGTGAGATTTCCGTCTCCTCGATCCTCACCCAGCTGCAGTTCATCTCCCTGCTCTATCGGCACCGGTACCAGAACCAGATCCACCACCAGGCCCAGGCCCAGGCCCACACGCAGGGCGGCCTGCTACGCACGAGCAGTGGCACCGCCCCGGGTGTCGGCGTCGGCGGCCAGGATGCCCCCTTGGGCATTCCCCGGCCGCTGTATGGCAGCGGGGCGGCCGTTGCCGCTGCGCCGGCCGCTCTGCATCAGCTCCCGCCGGAGGTGCTGAACGAGCTCCTCCTGGCTGATGATGGCCTGTCTTCGGCCGAGGCGGCCTTGGGGCAGGACTTCCAGCCGCTGGACACCAGCGACATCGAGGAGGATGACTATGCCCTGGTGGCCGGGACGCAGGCTCCCTCGCACAGCTTCGCCCCGATGGCCTACTTTTTGGTGTATCTCTTCCGTCAGGCATCGCGCCTGGCCCAGGCTCAGGCCGTGGATCCGAGTCTGCAGCCGCGCCCGTCGCTGGCCATGGCAGGGTCCCGTGGCGGCGGCACCCCAAGTGACCCGGTGGCCGATGTCCACTTCTTGGCGGCCGTCTATCGCTACGCCTTCAAGCATTGAGAGGCCCCTGTCCGCGAGAGGCATGCCGCATAGGGATGCTGCCCTCTTGAAATACATCAGCGCCCCCCCCCCCCCTCCCGAGCAGCAGGCTGTGCGTCCGTATGCGTGTGTGTCCGAGGAGGAGAGGGGAAGCCGGAGGGGAGAAGGAAAGAGGGGAAGTCTATCTATTGGGGGAGGGTGACTTTGCCAGGACGCAAAAATAGGGCTCCATGGACTACAACAAGGACAGGGAAGAAGAAAGGGGAGGGGAGAGGAAAGAGCAGGGGCGAAGCAGGGTGTGCTCGGGGGAATCTGAAGTATCGCCGCCATCACTCGCGAGGAAGAGGAGGAGGGAGGGGGCGGGGGCGGGGATCTGAGGGAATGGGTGGGGGGGGGGGGGGGGGGCAAAGGGCAGCACATCAGTCCAATGGCGAAGGCCCGGACTGGTGGATGGCTGATGGGTGGATGCCGAACAACCGTGCCAAATCCTGAGAAGAGCGGATATTCACCCGCACTGGGGATCGAGCGAGTGGGGCTGCAGGAAGGTCGGCCGGCGTGCCGGTCGGGGGGATGGTCGACTCATCGGCCGCCGGGGCCAGGCCACTGGGGGAAGATGGACCGCCGCCGGAAGGGGCAGGATCCAGGGCCGAAGACCGGGTGGACCGAAGAGCAGCATGCCCGCCGGCTGTGGCATTCTCACCGAGGGCTGACCCCTGGTTGGTGAGCTGGCGTGAGATCGCAGTGGGCGCAGGGCTCCCCGCTGTGGCCGTGGCCGTGGCCGTGGCCGTGGCCGTGGCCGTGGCTGCCGGCATGCCTGCCCTCGCTGTGGCATGGGGAATGGATGACGGCAGCTTGGGGGGGATTGGTGCGGCGCTCCATGGCTGGTGTGCGCTGCCCCGGGGCTTGGGTGAGGCGCGCTTCTTTGGGCCGCTGGGTGCCGGGGTGGTGCCGACCCGCAATATCCGAGCCACGGTTCCGCAACTGACACCAACCGCCTGGGCAATCTGCCGATAGGAAATGCGCGGCCGGGTTTGCGCCCCGAGCTCGAGAATGCGACTACGCTGGGCGTCGGTCAGTGTCTTCCGGTCGCTGCGCCACTCGGGCAACTCCGCGCGGATGATGCGCGACACGCTGGTGTGGGGGACACCCAGCTGCCGGGAGATGGCGGCAATCGACAGCCGCGGCGAGGTCTGACTGGCCAGACGGACAATGGCCCCGCGGGTGCCGGCGGCGATTGGCTGCCCAGCTGGCCGGGCTTGGCGAATTGCCTCGGGCGGCAGGGCTTGCCGGAGGACACGCATCACGGTCGACTGGCTGACCCCCGTCTCGAAGGCCACCTGTCGAGTGGACAGGGCCGGCGAGCTGAGGAGCGCGTAGCGTAAAACCGTTCGCCGGATTTGGATGTTGATCGAACGGAAGGGGGTCGGCGCATGGACACGTCCCTCCATCAGGGGCGGATGCATGGGCGAATGCCGAGGCCCGGTCCCCGGCGATCCGGCCGGGGGACTGCAGACCCGAGGAGGGCCGGGTGCCGTGGGAGGGGGTGGCTCTACGAAGGCCGGACCGGCGCCAGTACCTGGCCGAGTGGGCGGCGTCCCGGCTGGCGCCGCGGCCCGGGCAGGTACCCCGCGACCGGAGGCCGGCGTGGAGAAAGTGGCTCGAGATACAGTGGCGACGGTGAAGCTGGCACATGGCAGCTCACAGCGAAAGGGGCCCAGGCCGGCCAAGGAAACTAGGCGCAGCATGCACCGGTCCAGGACAGAGGCCGACCCCAAGTCGCCATTGGAAGTCTGCGCGGGGAGGCAGGATTGCGTGTGTGTGTGTGTGTGTGTGTGTGTGTGTGTGTGTGTGTGTATGCTTGTGTGTGTGTGTGCTTTCTTTTTGCTTGCCGTGTATATGTGCAGGGGGGGGGGGGGTTGTGAAGAGGAGTGCCGGGCAACCGGGTGTGCGCCATGCCTGGGGATCTGAAAAGAGGGTCACCCCCGGGCCCAGGCGGAACACCCCGCCTCCCCACCGATGGGTGCCAGAACAGGATACCCCCCCCCCCCCCCCTCTCGGGGGCAAGAGCGAGGACAGCGCGCTGGGGCGATGTAGAGGCCGCCCCGAGGTGATCTCGGGAGCAAACCTTTGTTCCGGCGCCGGGCTCCAGGCGTGGGCAGCCACGATCCGCCCCCGCGCCGCAGGTAGCCACGCACATCCATGCGCGAAGCGTGGGGAGCAGCCGTCGTGCTGATGCCGGAGAAGATGCCCCAGTTAAGACCCGGCCGAGCGGCACAGGCAGAGAGCTCTCCGCTCGCCCTGGTGATCAACTCACAGCCCCAGCCACACACTTCCGCCCCGCACAGGAGGAGGAGGAAAGAACGGCACACAGCACGCAGCTCCACACAGGGGGATGGCCGCCTCCTGGGGCGGAGCGCGGCTCGGTCCTCCAACCACATCATTGGAGTAGCCCAGGCGCGGTGGGCAGCCGCGAGCAGAGCAGAGCAGAAGGCCGTCTCCCTGGTGCCAGGCAGCAGGGACCCCTCTCTGTCGAGGAGGGGGGGAAGGCACAATGGCGGGAGGCAAATGGCGGTGTGCCTGACACACACACACACACACACACGGAGGAAGAGGAGGAAGGGAGCATAGGCCCTGCGTTTATTGTGGACCGTGTGCCTTGCGTGGGGGGGGGGGAAGGGGGCTGCACATGTGCGTGCACACGCTGCACACAGGGTGTGATTCAGGGGGGGAGGGAGAGGGGGAAGGAGAGACGGAGATGAGGGGCGGCGTGTGCGCACACGCGGCCAGCGAGCCAGGATCTAGAGGTCGGAGACCCACAGATACTCCCTCTACGGGAGGAGGAGGATGTACGTGTGTGCGCGCGCGCGTGCGCGTGCGTGCGTGCGTATGTGTGTGTGTGCGTGCGTGCGTATGTCAGTGTGTCCGAGCAGGCCGCGCAGAGGAATGTCCATGGACGACACACAACAGCGAACTGACAGGCGCGACGCGGAGGAGGGGCGGGGGGACACGCGCGGTGGAGCCCTGCTCTCCCGACCCCGGGGGGGATATTGGTACAAAGAGAGCGGAGGGGGGGGGGACACGTGTGCGCGACAGCTGCTGGGGACACAGACACACCGGCGGCACCATTGGACGGACACAGGAGCGGCGAGGGGCACGGTGTAAGGGGGGGGGGATACGGTGGGCACGAGGAGGAGACCCCGCACAGTCGCAGACATGGAGAAGGAGAGGCAGGACAGGGGAGAGGGGGGAGGCAGGCGCACCGCTAGACCCATATCACGACGGGAGGGGGTGCTGCGTGAGGGCGTGGAGCCGGGCCGGTGGTGGCGGCGGCGGCGGCCACGCCGCATGCAGTGTGAGGAATGCGAGGCGCGGCATGTGGGCCGGGGGGGCACGCGCACGCGAGGCCGGCAGCCGCCGAGCGGAGGGGGGGGGGTCGGGGCTTGCCAGCAAGTACGCGCGCTTAGTCGAGCTTGGTGGGGAAGACACCGTTCTCGACCTGGTCGGTCCAGCGGTCGACCCACTCAATCGGGCAGAGAGAGGTGAAGGTCTTCTTGAACTGGACGCAGACGGGGAAGTCCTCGCCGCGGGCGTTGGCGCAGCGGTGGAAGTCCACGAAGTTCTGCCAGCAGTTCTTGGTCTGGTTGACGTTCGGGAAGCGGGCGTCGAACTGGGGGGTCTGGAGGACGGTCTCGGGGCGATCGGACATGGTGGCGAAAGGCTGATGCAGAGGGAGGAGGTCAGCGGGGCAAGGGACCGCGGTTGGGGAGGGGGAAGGGGGAGAGCGAGCGCGAGGGGGAAGGAGGGAGG